GAGGAGGAGGAGGAGGAGGAGGAGGAGGAGGAGGAGGCCACCTCCCTGACCAGTAGGGCCTCCTTCCCCTCCGTCCCTGGCCAAGCCAGTAGGGCCTCCTCCCTGGCCAGCAGCGGGCCCATCCTGGGGCCGGGCCAGGATCGGCGCACGTGCATAGTTTCACTGGCAGCCAAGAGGGGGGTGATGGCCAGGGGGGGGTGGACATCATGGCCGGGGCCACGATATCTCGCCACATATCATGCCGCCTCTTCTTATTTTAACGCGTGCCCTGGCCCCCCCCTGGGCCGCGCAAATGCCTGTGGCCATGAGTTGCGAACCCCCCTTCTTGGACGCCCCCCTCTTGGCTCTTGGACATTGGACGCCCCCGACAGTTCTCTTTCGTCTGGCTCTGCGGTCCAGATGGCGGCACGAGCACCGACGTCTCAAGACGGCATTAAGCAGGCTGGCCGAGGCCGCAGCGGCAGAGGGAGTCCAATCTTCGAGATCCGCGGGCATCGTTCCAGCCAGCGTGTTCGCCGCGGCCCGCTCGGGCTGCAGAGCTCTGCTTGCACGTGATGCCCCCTGCCAGCTCCCTGTAGCCACGAGACCTTCTCGGGCGGCTCCCACCAGTGGCCGCCCAAGTGGCCCAGCGGCTCTCAAGCATTTTCACTGGGGGGGGGCGCGATGTTCAGAAGGTTGGCGCGCTCTGGCAGGAATGCCGCCCCGGCGGGTTTAGTTCTGTCCAGGGCGTCTCTTCTGCATGGAGGGGCAGACCGAGGCTCTGCACATGCTCGCGAATCTCAGGAAAGATAAAAAGGCGCAGACACAAATAGTCGCCGATTCCGGCAACAGATGCAAAATAGGGGAAATGTAGGCGAAGACGAAAGTCCAGAAAGTATTAGCAGATGTGGGAAAGCATTGAATGTGTGTCTATTTGTTGTTGTGTCCTTGGGCCCCTTTTAGAATCTCAGGCTGAAAAATAAGAAGCTCCGTGTAGTGCTGTAGGCTCGCGCAGAAGAGGCTGCCGTGGGGGGCCCACCTGGCCGACAGGCCAAGATGGACTTCGTGGCCCCGAACTTGTGCGCCCTGATCGGCGAGATCATCCGCGGTGCCTGGCGGCAGAGCCGTGCGGCACGGGAGCACCTCCCCGGCCCAGGAGTCTCTCAGCAGACCGCCTAACGTGTCCAGCAGAGCTGCGCGCGGGCAACGACGCTCTGCGATCGTCTGGTGTTTTTTCCTAGCAGGGACCCAGCCTCGATGCTCGAGGAGGTCGGTGAGTGGATGGCGCTCCACCTCGGCGGGAGGCCCGCGGCAACAGGGCCGGCGGGAGGCGGCGGCGGAAGTGAAGACGAGGGCGCCTCCGTTGGCGGGAGAGCGGCAGGAGAGCGCGGGAGCTCGGCGGGAGGCGAGCGGCACGAGCGGACAGTTCGCGCCAATGTTTGCGCGACCCGTCGACTTGTTCGGGGTGGGAGTCCGTGGGGGGCTACGGGCAGGTGTGTGTTGTCGGGTGATTCAGGTGTGTGTTGTCGGGTGTGGCTCCCCGCTCGAGCAGGAGCCCCGCTTGGGGTCTGGCAGCCGCGCCCATACCCATACCCAGCCCCCGTCCTTCCGACACCCCATATGAGTATGGGCGTGCCTTGTTCAGGAGGGAAAGAACACACACAGACACAATTCATCGGCGATTTCCCAGAAAATATGGGAAAATATGGGAAGTGGGGGGAAGACAAAAACCCAGAAATATTTTAAGAAATATAGGGGAATCCGGTGATTTGTGTGTATTTACTTGCGTGTCCCAGGGCCCCTCCAATGGTTCGTTCATCAACTGAGGGCTTCCGGGGTCGGCCAGATGCTTCCCCCAGCGACGCCCTTGGCTGGACCGCGCGGAGCGGGCCGGCCACGTGCAGGGGTGGCCAGACGGGTCGCACCTCGGAGCCCAGGGGGGGGGGGGGGTAAAACAGGGCCAGGATCGGGATAAATCGCTCCAGAGCGTTCCAGAGCGCTCTCAGAGCGTTCCGGAACGCTCTGGAGCGGCTGCGGCGCCCAATACATCCTCCAAACCCGCCGATTCTCAGAGATTTCGAGTTATCCCGATCCGATTTTGTCCCGATCTTCGCGTCGTTTTAGGGGGGGGGGAATGCAGACGGGACGAGACACCGTCATCGCCCCCCTCGTCCTACTTGCTCCTCTTCCTCCGCGGACGCCCTGATCCGATATAATATCTGTGCTCCCTCTGCGGTGGGGGCCGTGAGGAGTCGCGCCGTTCGCAGGGGGGGTCTTCGGACGCCCGCCGCGGAGCCCGCGAGGCGACCGTGGCACTGTAGCGGTGCGCGGAAGTCCTGTCGCTAGTGCAGGGGGCACCCCCTTTCGCGCATGCTTTCCGGAGCCTGCCCTCGAGGGTCTCCCCTGCATGCGGGCGGCATGATCTCCTGCCGAGGGAAGCCAACAGCACGCAAGCGACCTGCTCGAGGGGCAGTCTGGGACCCACGTGTCACATGCCCGGAGCGCCTCATCCTTCGGGCACCCATCAGTCGTTGAAAGCGGGCGTTTCTCGGATCCCCAGATCCCTAATTATCTTAGGCGCCTTCCTATTTCAAGAGTCGTACAGCCTTCCCTCCTCCCTTCTCTTCGGGGCGTGGGCGAAAGCCCAATCTACTTTCAACATGTTCCTGCTTCATGCATCTACCCTTAAGTCGGGCGTGTCCCTCTAACTGGAGGAATATTTAACAATAATCAAACAAATATTGGGACGATTTTTGAGTATGTTTGATCATTTTGTGAGCATGGTTCAGTTATTTTTTTACGGGCGTCAAAAAACCGCTTGTCGGAGGACACGCCCGACCTAAATCTACCCACTTCTTCCGTCCGATAGGAGCTCGTCGGTCGAGTGTGAAGCCAAGACAGCAGGCAAGGGAGAGTTGAGCAGCAAACCTGCCAGCGTGTGAGCCACGGGCAGCCTTTTGGCAGGCGGTGGGTCCAGATAGATTTCAGTCGGGCGCGTCCCTCGATAGGAGGATTAGTCAAAAACTAGTAACAAAAAAAGTCAGGGGACGATTGTTGGCCTATGTTTGACAAGTTTGGTGCATTCCTGATCTACGTTGTATTGTTCGTCCAACGTCCGCCTGTAGGGGGACATGCCCGACCTAAAGATAGATGTGTTATGCGTCTGAGGGGCTCGCCCTGCCGCCGATGGGGATGCCAAGGGTGGGGGCGGTCCCATGTTCCCTGCTCGTTGCTAGGCCTCCTAGATGGGGACCAAAGTCTGGCAAGCTGGACGAACAGAACGCAACACATGGACACACGTGGCGTTCGCAAGGCCACAAGCTGGGGGCCCTCTCACGCTCACCCGTCACGACGTCAAAGTCATGTGAAAGGAAACGGAAGAGCAAGGAACATGGGACCGCCCCCACCCTTGCAGAGGCCTACTAGATGGGGTCGGAGCAGACGGGGTCCGAGGATCGCGCCGCATCGCCGATGCATCGCCGATGCGGCTCGATGCGGGGCCCGATTTGCTCCACGTCGGCGTCGCCGATGCACCGCCGATGTCGACGATGCATCGGCGAAGCATCGCCGATCGTCGATGCATCGGCGATGCATCGGCGATGCGGCGCGATCCTCCGACCCCATCCACTCCGACCCCATCTAGTAGGCCTCTGCAAGGGTGGGGGCGGTCCCATGTTCCTTGCTCTTCCGTTTCCTTTCACATGACTTTGACGTCGTGACGGGTGAGCGTAAGAGGGCCCCCAGTTTGTGGCTTTGCGGACGCCATGTGTGTCCATGTGTTGCGTTCTCTTCGTCCAGCTTGCCAGACCTTGGTTTGGTTTCGGCTCCGCTCGGATTGGCTTGGCATTAAGGAAATATCGCCTGACACCTTACAGCGACTCGATCATATTGAAGTGATAGTGAGTTCTGCAGCGCAGCATCTATTCATACCACTGGATATGTGTTCGATCGCAGATGCGTCAGGACATCTGGGGGACACCATCAGGACACATCCGCAGATTACCCAGGACACAACTGAGCATCGGCCAGGAAGCCCTCGTGTCACCATCGAACATGAACCAGGGAATTCGGACACACTCGGGGCACGATAACGGATGCATCGCCCGGCGTTCAATCAACGAATGGCTCACAACCAGTGCCCTCAGCAGAGCAGCTCGCCGCACAGGAAAGCACACATTCTAGCCAACCAACACCTGCTGGTATGGGGGAGCATCAGTTTGCCACGCCTCCGGCGCAGCGCGCAGAGCCTCCGACCTCTTCAGCCAAAGACGAGTTGCGAGTTCCTCTTACAGTGGGGTTGCGAGCAAGCATGATCGAAACGTCATCGGGACGAGGATCGACCAGGACGCGCTCTAAGCATCAATCGCGGTATGCTCGGGACGTGATCGGAAACAGTCGGCGCAATCGAGAAATTATCGCACACAAAGTTGGCCATCATTGGGACAAGACCTAGATTCAATCAGAGCACCTTCGGACACCATCAGGGCACAATCGGGACTCAACCGAGACACCAGCGGGACATCACGACAGGACACCTTGCCAGGACCATCGGGACATCGGGATATTTGCCCAGTCCGCCGACCGTGAAGTGGAGGATGAGCAGAAATAATGTTCGATATTGTCCAGGAGCTGGCTGAGGTCCACCGATGCTCGTTTCACTCCAACCGCTGCTGTCGATGGCGACATCGCGGAGCCTGGCCCCAAGGCGGGGCCCGAAGCGCAGACTTGGGCGCGCGTGCGATGGACGTTATTTGCCCCAGCTTCGCACGCAAATCAGGATTTCCTGACGTTCGCCTCCGTCCAGTGGCCGTCACACCCCAGGCCGTTACCAGGGCTCTATGTTCGTGTGCGTGCGCGCTTTTGCCTTTAGAGGGCGGCGGATTGGCGCACGACTCATCTCGCACGCGGGGAGCCTGACCAACCTGGCGAAGTACCCCGCCTCGACGGTGCAGATCCTGGGTGCTGAGAAGGCCGAGGGGCACTTTCTGCATCTGCCGGTCGTGCCCGCCCATGCCGGCGCCAGCAGCATCGGTGCTCGGTCACAGCTGCTCTGCAAGTGTGGCTTGCGCCAAGCTGCTGCGGCCAGATACGATCGGGATGTTCCGGACGATGTCTGCAGAACCTGCAACAGCGATTCTGACATTTCATGCACGTTCGATGTGTGTCCCAAAGTCGGCGATGGGAACGTCACGTATTCCTTATTCGTTCGGGAGATAGGATTGCCGCAGAGGGCATTTCCGAGAGACCGCATTGGTAACTGCCGTGTCGAGGCACCACGCGGAAAGTTGAGTTTGGTTTGGGTGTCTGCCGTTGTGTTCTGCATCGCGATTTATCTAAACGAGCCTTGCCGCATTGAATATGTTCGCGAGCCAGCTTGGAAGGCCCTATTCCGCGCCCTCAAGACGAAGGGCAACACGCCGAAGTATGGTCTCATCTTCCACTCCTCGTTCATCGGCCGCGCGCAGCAGAAGAACAAGGAGAGAGTTTGAATTGAATGAGTCCAGCCAGCTCTGGAGTGGGCCTGCAGTGCGGGGCCTCTCGGAGGCCCTGTTGGCCTGACGAGCCAGCTCGCAGCAAAGCAGCCCCCATGAACGCAAGGTAGGTCGAGTGCAACACTATTTGGTGAAGAGCCTCTCGGGGTTGGCATCAGAAGAGCCCCACTGAGGGAGAGGAGGGGGAATCCGGGGCCCTTTCGAGTCCATCAGGTGAATGCAAGATAGGTCGAGTGCAACACTATTTGGTGAAGAGCCCCTCGGGGTTGGCATCAGAAGAGCCCCACTGAGGGAGAGGAGGGAGAATCGGGGGCCATTTCGAGTCCATCAGGCCCAGCGCCGCCGTCTCGGAGCCGACCTGGGGCCGACAGCAAGTCCTTCGCATGCCGTGGCCGTCCGTACCTGAGGCGTTTCAAGGGGGCCTGTCTGTAATGGTTGGGGCTGTCTGGGATGCAGTCGGATGGAAATGAATTGACGCTGCGTGTGTTCAGCCGGCTGCTCGGGAAACAGTGGACTTGGCTTGACGAATGTGAGCGTTGTTTTTCATTGTTTTGCCGATCGGCGCGGGCCCTCGCACCCCCCATCCCCCCCCATGGAGTAGATCTCGACTGTTTGGGGCGCCTGTTTCGAGCGGGTGGAGCCTCCCCTATGATGGACGCCCTCCTGCAAACAGTCGCACTAAGCAGAGGTCAGGAGCCAGACCCCCCCCTCCCCCCCCCCTTCCGCCCAATGTCGAAACGCCGAATAAAAACAGTTCACACATCGGTGCTACGCAGACAGCCATTGGAGGATTTCAGGGGGTCAAAGGGGAGCCGGATCGTGGACGAGAGGCACCCCCGGTTTCTGCAGTGGGGGCCCATGCCAAGAAACACCGTGCTTGCCTCCAGGGTGCCCTGGGTTTCTTGGGTTTCGATGGCTTTGCGGTGGAAAGCGCGGCGCTCCCACGCCAAAAATCAATGAACGCCCTGGGGTCTTGTGGAAGGTTTCTTGTAGACTGGCCTCCACTGTAGCACACACAAGACGTCATCCGTAGTAGTGTTGGGGGAGTGTAAGACCCGGGTTTGCCAGGACTCGGGTTCGCCATCGTTTTTTGACGACCGCGCCTCGGATTTTGACGAGGAGGAGTTTCGTTGGATGTCTGCAGCGGGAGGCCTCGTCAAAATGCAGGCTCGGCCTCGTCATTTTTTTGACGACCTCGTCGGGGATTTCCGAGTCCCCTGTACCCAGGTCTTACGTCCCCCTGATAGTGTAACACCCGGGCAGTGCGTGTCCCAACGACGAGGCCCCCAATGTCCAGCGGAGTGCGGGCGGCGGCTGCAGCACAGCATTTGCGCCCCTCCGCTGGCGGCGAGCATATTCGTCTCCGCGCCCTCGCGGTCGGGATTCTGGGGCGCGATCCCGCGGATTCGTGGTCGCACGGATGCGTTTCGCGCGGGGTATCCGCAACATTTGTTCCAGAGGAAATCAGGAGGGAAAAAAACACACAGACACAATTAATCGTCGATTTCCCAGAAAATATGGGAAAATATGGGAAGTGGTGGGGAAGACAAAAACCCAGAAAATATAGGAAAATATGGGGAATCTTTTTATTTGTGTGTATTTATTTGTGTGTCCCAGTTTCCCTTCAGGAAAGAAAACCTTATCAGCGGGTTTGAGGCCCAGGGGCACGGCCCGCAAGGCCGCAGATGCGGACATGTTCTCTTCGCCCAGGACCAATGGGGCCAAACTCCGCGCACGTTCGTCGACCGTCCCCGATTTCACAATCGTTCAGGACGAGAGCACGCGGGCTCGGCGGGGACATCGAGGTCGGCTCTGTCCCACGATCAGAACTGCTAGTGGGAGCCTTGCCACCATCGAAATCGCAACATGAGGTTAAAATTTAAGGGGCGACACTCGCCCTGGCCCAGAATATTATCTGCGCGGTGAATGTGTCTGGGGGGTACAGGCGGCGTTCAAGAAGGGGTGGGGACAAGAGGAGTGGAAATTCCCCTGGTTTGATGTTGCTGTCTTCTTCTTCTTTCAACACGTCGCTTGCCCCTCCCCCTTCGTCCGCGCAAATGTTTGGGGCCATGAGGCGCGAACCCTGTTCTTCGGCGCTCTCGAGGGTACGCAACCGAGTCCCCACGCGGTAAGTCTTGAGGCTCGCTTTGGAGGCCGGTGCTGTTGCACCCGCAGCTCTGCTGTCCGCCCCTTCACGCGGTGGCGCTGCGTTGTTTGATGTTTGTTGGTTGGCTGGTCCGTGCTGGGCAGCGTAGGCAGTGGCCCAGACCTACTGCGGGGTTCCTCGGATGGAAGTCGATGGGTTTCGCCGACGCCAGTGTGACAAAGCGGCGCTGGGCTTAGTGGGCCCTGCAAACGACAGGGCCGTTTTTTTACGGTTTCCGATCTGCCGTTTCTTTGCCGGTTCCGACGCCGTTGTTTGACCGGTTCCGTCGCCGTTTTTGTTACCGGTTCTGGCTCCAGCTCCAATCTTGGAGCCGTTTTTGTTGCCGTTTCTAGTCGCCTTTTTTTGCCGTTTCCATTTTCAAGGGACACTGTTTCGGAAACGGTGAAAAAAAACAGCCTTGCCGTTTCCGGGGCCCACTCAGGCGTTGGGGATCCCCGATTGATGTGATTGACCCTTCTTCTGATTTGGCTAGAGTGTCTCTTCTGCTTGGGCGATGACGGGCGTTACCGGGGGGGCGGGGAGAGGGGAAAGGGTTCGGTAACATCACGTTTCGCGCCAGCGCCGTGTGGTACGGTCCAGGAATGACCGCAGACAAGTCGGAGGGCAGCACGAGTCGTGACGTTACTTGGGGGGCGGCTGGAGCCAGTATCGGCTGTTGCATTTCATGGGTGGTTATCGATGTCCAGGTATCCATCGGGTGGGGCAGACCTTGAGTGCGTGTCATGCTTCTTTTTGACATCAGATGTTGCAGATGGGCTCGGCCAGGGCACCACAGTGCCTGATGCTGAGAAGCTGTCAGGACGATGTGCAAACATTCAATGTCAAAGTTTAGTGAGCGCGGTCTCTGAAGCATGAGCGTCCAATCGCGTCTGGAGATACGCAGCGACAGCTGAATATTAGCAAACAGCGCTCTCAGGGAAGGATATCCCGCTATCTTGCGAACAAGGCCTTTATGTCCCAACCTTCGTGAAGTAATGTTAGTGCGGCTTGTACGTATTCGTCGTGCTACCTTGGTTTGTTTCATTATTTTCTGTCTTCTCTTCAGGGAAAGGATGGCGTCGAGGTAACCGGATCATGATGCATGAAGAGGGTTACGCATGCGGAACGCACGCATCCAGGACGATGCCGAGAAATCGTACTACACACAGCGTCTTGTTGCGACCCTTTGAAATTATTCGCGTACCAGACACAAGGATCCATGTTCCACTATTCAGCCACGGCTGTGTTGCGTGAGGCATTGATTGCGACGTCGTGGCATATGAGACGGTGGATTGTCGAAGCCTCTTTCGCTCCTGTGAACCTGAGGCAGCTCATTGGAATGTTGTTCCCTCCCCCTGCTTCGTCCCAGGGTTTGGGCAGATTTGGGAAGCGATGCGGCCCCCACGAGGGGTGCCCAGGGCCTGGCCAGCGCCATCTCTCTGGTCCGCTCTCTGCGCGGGGGGCTGTTCTGCGCACTGGCTGTGTGCCCGTCGCTCCGCCCCCACATCTGCCACCAGGCACTCCTGCTCGACCCAATCTTAAGTTGGGCATGTCCCTCTACAGGGGGGGTATTCCTCAAAAATCGTCAAAACATAATCCATTGACGATGTTTCAACCATGTTTGACAATTTTTTTGGTGCATGCTGTTGGATTGTTTTTCATGTTCCATCCGAAATCCGCCTATAGGGAGACATGCCCGACCGAAACCCAATCCCCTGCCTCCCAGCGCTCCCTCGCCCCGTTCTGCCGCGCCCGAACGAGAACCCGGGAGGCACGGGTATGGCTCTGCCAGCCCCGTGCGCGCACAGACAGGGTGCGCAGAGCGGAGAGTGCCATTTCAGGGGGGGGGCGCATCGGCGTTGGGACGCGGGCAGGGCATGCGCCCACAAACGCGCACAGGCAAGGTTTCACAGTCTCCCTCAGCAGTGGCGCTGTTCATTTCGACATGCACACCGCGTCGGGGAGGAGTGTACGACTTCTGAGGTTGCGCGACAGCGCGATTCGCCAAACCAGCGAAGCGGAAGCGTGTGGTCCACGTGCGGCAGTTTCGCGCCGCGCTCACGCGGCGGCGCTCCAGCAGGGCGTTCCAAAGGAGGATCGCCGCCGTTTTGGCCCTGACTCGGTCGGGCGACCTGCGCTGCCGGAAAGGTGTTATCGTTAAGTCGGGCGTGTCCCTCGACAGGAGGGATATTCAAACATAGTCTAAAGAATAGATGTGCAGATGTTTCTAGTATGGTTTGACTCATGTCGAGTATGTTTCGAGTATTTTACCCCACATCCAATGTGGGGTTCTTGTTTTCTTCCCCACACCCCGCGCAGGAACAAGAAAGAGAACACACCCTCTCCTCTTCTCCCATCGCACACTCACTCATTTTTTCACAAACACACACACACATCATCATTCATATTCACTCACCCACCCACTCACTCACCCACACGCGCACTCATTCACACACTCATAACTCACTCACTTGCCTTCTCACTCACCCACCCACGCACTCGCTCACACACTGATTATCATCACGCACTCACGCACTCACCTAGTCACCCACCTACCCGCCCACTCACTCAGTCACACACTCATCATCATCATCATCATCATCATCATCATCATCATCATCATCATCATCATCATCACCACCATGATCATGATGATGATGATCATCATCATCATCGTCGTCGTTATCATCATCATCATCATCATCGTCATCGTCATCGTCATCGTCATCATCATCATTATTCATCAATCGGAGTCGTCACGGAGTCATCGGCGGGTCATCGGAGTCCTGCAACTGTCGTCATTTTTGGGCCCCTGAGGCCTGAATCTGGAGGAAGTATCAGGCGGGAGCGTCGTCGGTGAGTGAAGTGCGAGGAAGTTTCAGGCGGGAGCCCCCTCCGTATGGGGCTCGCAGCTCCTGCTTTTAATCCGAGGCGGGTGATCGGAATCTTGCAACTGTAATCATTTGTTGGTTAGTGAGGCCTGAATATGGAGGAGGTATCACGCGAGAGCCTCGTCTGTGAGTGAATTGCGAGGAAGTCTCAGACGGCAGCCCCCTCCGTATGGGGCCCGCAGCTCATGTTTTTGAACCGAGGCGGGTCATCTGAATCCTGTATCTGTCGTCACTTTTGGGCCCCTGTGGCTTGAATATGGGGGACGTATCAGGCGGGAGGGAGCCTCGTCTGTGAGTGAATTTCGAAGAAGTGTCAGGCGGGAGCCCCCTCCCTATGGGGTCCGCAGCTGATGTTTTTAGACCGAGGCGGGTCATCGGAATCCTGTAACCGTCGTTACTTTTGAGCTCCTGAGGCCTGAACATGGAGGAAGTATCACGCGAGAGCCTCGTCTGTGAGCGACTTGCGAGGAAGGCTCGTTGAATATGGGAGACGTATCAGGCGGGAGCCTCGTTCGTGAGTGAATCGTGAGGAAGTCTCAGGCGGGAGGCCCCTCCAAATGGGGCCCGCACCTCCCGTGCTTCCTCCGGGTCGTCCTTTGGGTCGTCCTCCGGCGCACGCTTCTTTTGGATCGTCCTCTGGCGCGTATCTCTTGGAACGCACGTCGTGCATTTCTTGTGGGTCGTGTTCCGCACGAGGAGGAGGAGGAGGAGGAGGAGGACGAAGGAGGAAGGAGGATGCAGGACGAGAAAGAGAAGGAGGAAGAGGAGGAGGAGGAGGAGGAGGAGGAGGAGGAGGAGGAGGCAGAGGGCGAGGAGGACGAGGAGGACTAGAAGGAAGAGGAGTGCCTTAGGAGGCCCCAGGATGTCCTGGGAGGCCCAGAAGGCCCCAGGAGGAGGCAGGAGGCCTGAGGAGGAGGCATGAGGAGGAGGGAGAGGAGGAGGGGGAGGAAGATGGAGACGAGGAGTAGGCGGAGGAGGGAGAGGGAGAGGAGGAGGCGGGAGAGGGGAGGAGGAAGAGGAGAAGGAGGAAGAGGAGGAGGAGTGAGGGAGGAGGAGGACGCAGGATGCAGGAGGAACAGGGGGGAATGGAGGGAGAAGGCATAACGAGGAAAAGGAAAAGGAGGAGGTGGTGGAGGAGGCAAGAGGAGGAGGGGGCAGGGTTGAGGCATGAGAAGAGCAGGCAGGAGCAGAAGGATGAGGTAGGAGTAGGTGGGAGAAGGGAGGGGGCAGGAGGAGATCTCCAGGCAAGCTAAACAAATTCTCATGCGGGGTCCTACCGTCGGAGTAATTTATTGTAATGGCCTCCGGCCAGTGCCGCCGATCCGGGGCGCTCCCGATGCGTGTGGGAACGGACGATGACGACGACGACCGACGACCGGGTCAACGACGGACGATGATGACGACGACGTCCCTCCTCCCCCCGCTGCCCTCCCCGGTTTCTTGGACCTCCCCCCCCCCGCTTGAGCTCGACCCCCCCCTCCGTCCCCGCTCGAGCTTCCTCCTTGGACCCCCCCCCTCCCGCTTGAGCTCGACCCCCCCCCCTCGTCCTCGCTCGAGCTCCCCCCCCCCCTCGATTCGTGGAACCCCTCCCCCCCGCGCTGACACCCCCTCTCCCCCCGCTTGAGCTCGACCCCCCGCTCCGTTCGACCCCCCCCCCCCTCGTCCTCGCTCGAGCTCCCCCCCCCCCTCGATTCTTGGACCCCCCCCCCCCGCGCTGACCCCCCCCCCGCTTGAGCTCGAGCTCCCCTCCTCCGTCCCCGCTCGAGCTGCCTCCTTCGACCCCCCCCCACCGCTTGAGCTCGACCCCCCCCCCGTCCTCGCTCGAGCTCCCCCCCCCCCTCGATTCTTGGACGTCCCCCCCCCCCGCGCTGACCCCCCCCCCCCCGCTTGAGCTCGACCCCCTCCTCCGTTCGACCCCCCCCCCCCGTCCTCGCTCGAGCTCCCCCCTCCCTCGATGCGGGGTCCTACCGTCCGAGTAATTTATTTGTCGTCCAAAATCCGCTTGTAGGGGGACATGCCCCACGTAATGCTATCGTTCAAAAGGTTGAGCGATCCACGCGAGCTAATGCGCAAGTCGTCACGACGCGAGCTTGCTGGAGTGGGCCCCTCTCCTTTGCAATTGTGAAGGCCCTCGTTGCTCCAACCTCCGTCCAGCCATCCCCTAGCGGCCTTCGCTCCTCTCAGCCGCCCTTCTGGCCACTGCCACACTGCCCGCCGTGCCCGCCCCTGGTAAAATCCCGAGTGCTCGTATTATCTTCGAGGTGGTTGTGGGGGTCCTGAAAAATCATGGCATACGTTTCCAATTCTCTTTTGCTACAATTGTGAATGCCTTCTTTTCTGCAAGCCCCTTCCAACAATCCCCTGGCCCTTTTTGCTCCCCTCTGCCGCCCTTCTGGCCACTGCCACCCCGCCCGCCGTGTCCGTCCATGGTAAAGTCCCGAATGCTGGTGTTATCTCAGAGGTGGTTGTTGAACATCCTGACAGATCATTCTAGATGTTCCCAAACTCACTGGGCATCCGTCCTCTGGTGTAGGGGGTGTAAACTTTTTCAGAGGGTGAATTCGCTGCAAAGCCCCCCTGTTGCAGGATGATTCTGCGCTGGTCTAGAGCGTGGGCGCGCGCTCATTCCTCGCGTGGGCAGTGCACGTGGCCGCCATGGGGTGCTGCGCGCAGCTGAGCGCGCTGCCCGCACTGTGCAGGCCTCCCGCGCATCGCGTGCGTGGCGTGCGCGGCGTCTGTTATCGCGGGAGATGTTGCTGCACGACGCCCCGTTTCCCCTGGTCTCCATGGGGTGGCGGGGGCTCCGCAAGATTGGCGGCGGGCGCCAGGCGAAGGCATGCTTGTTCACCCCTCTTGCCCCGAGCTATCCGTGCCGGTTCTGGAAAGATGCTTCCAGTGTTCCATGGCGTCGCGGATCGACTGCTTCTCCGACGAGGCCATCCAGAGAGACCGAAGTGGGGGGAGAGGGCAGGTGCAGTCTGTCACCACCCACCAAACCACCCCAACCCAACCCGAAGGCCTCAACTTGCCCTCCATTTCCAGTTGGGGGGGGAGGTCGGGGAACATTGAACAAAAAACAAGTGGAACCCGTACCCCCCCAAACCCGAAATTCGAGTCTTTGGGTTGGGTTGGGGTTGTCTGGTGGGTAGTCAGTCTGTCCCAGTGGGTTCTCGCATGCGCGTCTGCCCCTTGCCGGATGCAGGCCGCGGCGCCCCACGAGGGCCGTCAGGAGCACGTGCGAGGCACCGAGGGAGCGCCGAGCGGCAGAGAGCGGCGGCGCACGGCTGCGAGCACTGCCCCCCAGCGATGCGCAGCAGCAGGCAGGCAGCAGGCAGCAGGCAGCAGCGGGCACGCGGTCTCGGGCCGAACGACGGGGGGGGGAGAGGGAAAGGGGGGGGCTACGAAATCTGCTGCATGCGGCTGGTTTCGGCCCCGCCGCCGGGCCCACTCCTCGATACATGGGCGCCTCCCGGCGCCGGGAGGCGCCGGGAAAAGCAGCTACGTGAGCTGATTCTCACCCCCCCCCCCTTTGTTATCCCCCCTTTTCGCCCTGGCCCGATAGTCGCAAGCGGCAGCAAGAAGCCCCAAGTAGCGGCAGTCAGCCACAAACGGCAGCAAACAAAACCACAGCAGCAGTCGGTTCGATCAGCAGCGCTTCCCGCGCTGTGACGTGGCCGGAATAGGCTACTGAAATCGGAACCTTGGACTCACAGAGGTGTCCAAGACGGCCCACGCGGGCTTACAGCACGGCTCCAGCTTGCCCGAGGACAAGCTTCCTTGGTTTTCAAGCCACTCAAAGCGATTCAAAAAGAGCCGAAACGGCTCAAAATAGAGTCTCGGCGGCCTTACGAGAGGCTCCAAGCAGCGCTAGAGGTCCAAGACTGCCCGGGAGGGCTCCCAGATGACTCCAGTGTGCCCAGGGAGGCTTTCAGGACAGGTCAAGAGGGTTCTAGGCGGTTCCAAGACGGCCGAGTAAGCTCAAATGCCTCGCAGGGGCTGTCAGAGAGGCTCCAGGAGGTGTACAAGAGAGGCCCGGCCGGGACGGTCGACACTGTCAAAATTGTGACGGTTTCTCCGCAAGGACACGTCAAAATAAGCTTGGCTTTCGGCTCACGAATCAGAGGGCTCCGAGGCGGCTCAAGTCAGCCACGCGCAGAGGGGGGTGGGGGGAGGGGGGAGGGCTTCTCAGAAGCGCCCCTGCTTCTTAGAAGGCGGGGGCCTTATCTGTAGATGCAGGGCTGCCGCCTTCTAAGAAGCAGCCTCCTCCTAAGAAGCCCTCCCCCCTCCCTCCACCCCCTTGTGCGCGCCGCCAAGAATCAGAGGGCTCCGAGGCGGCTCGAGAGGGCCCCCAGGGCACGCGTCAACAGGGCCAGAGAGGCCCCCAAGACAGCCCTCGCGGACGGCCCTCCCTCTGGCGCGGCACCCAGGCAGGCCCGGCGAGCCACCGCGGAGTGCCCCAAGACGCCCCCCAGGCGCCTCGAGAGGACCCTTCCGGCCACATGCTCTACCGCGTCTGACCATTTTTGAGGAGGCGGAGGACGAGGAGGACGAGGAGGACGAGGAGGACGAGGAGGACGAGGAGGAGGAGGACGAGGAGGAGGAGGAGGAGGTGGAGGACGAGGAGGAGGAGGAGGAGGAGGAGGAGGAGGAGGAGGAGGAGGACCCTTCCATGTGAGCATGTTTTATTCCTTGTTTTGCCGATCGGCGCGGGCCCCCAAACCCCTCCTCCCCCCCATGAAGCATCGGGGGCGGAAAAGAGGGGGGGGTGACTTAGGGGGGGGGAGATCCTGGCGTGGGCCATGATATTTCCCCAGATTTCATGGCGCCCCTTCTTATTTCATTACGTCCCTGGCCCCCCCCGCTGGGCCGCGCACATGCCGCCAGTCATGATTTGCACCCCTCCCTTCTTGGACACCCCCCTCTTGGCCGCTCCCGAAAGTAGGTCTTGGCTGTTTTGGGCGCCTGTTTCGAGCAGGTGGAGTCTCCCTCATAGGACCCAGTGCTGCAAACAGTCGCACTAGGCAGAGGTCCGGCGCCAGCCCCCCCCCCCTCCCACTCCCCTCTTCCGCCCAGTGTCGAAACGCCAAACAAAAAAAACGCTCACCATGAGGCCCCCGAGAGACCTCCGAAGGTCTCACGGGGCCCCGGCGCCGAGGGCCTCGGGAGAGCCGTCTGGCAGCCGAAGAGGGCGCGTCAGACCGCCGCGGAGACTGCTCCGAGAGGCTGCGAACGCGCACGAGGCGGGAGGCCCCCGAGAGGCCCCCGAGAGTCGCGAAGGGAGGCCTGGGCAGCAGCTGTCCACGACTCCAGCAGCGCGCAGCAGCAGTCAGAAGCGAGCAGAGCTAAGGAGCATCAGCAGGCAGCGGGCACAGCAGAAGTCGGCTCGAGGAGCGGCGCTGCCCGTTGTGCCCGAGGTGTGCTTCTCGAGCGGCTTCTCGGGCCCGAAGACGCATCCAAGAAGGCACATGAGGTCACCAAGAGGGCCCCCAGAGGGCTCCAAGGCGTGCCCAGGATGCCCCGAAGACGCCGATGCAGCGGATCCAAGTGGCTCTCAATATCCCAAAGACGATTGGAGGTTACCCAATAAGTCTCCGAAACCCGGGGCCCGAGATGACCCCAAGAGGCCGCCAAGTTTGCCTAGAAGCCCCCCCCCCCCGAGACGGCCACGCAGGGGCCCCAAAAAACGCCCGAAACGGCTCTTGCATCATGCCTTGCGAGGGCTCCTAACAGCCCAGAGAGGCTACAGGTGACCCGAGAGGCGTGGGATTTCCATGTTTTTCCAGTTCCTCGGCGCTGTTCAGCGCTGTTGTTTTGTTTGTGCCTCGTGGGTTTTGTCAGCCGGGCCCCTCATGGGTGTGAGATCTTCTGGACTCCCTGGGGGTTCTGGAGGCCTCTTGGAGGCCTGGCGAGCCGTGGGAAGGGTGTCTCGGGTTGCGCGGGAGCGTGTTGGGCCGTTCTTTACGTTCTGGGGGCTCCTTGGGGTCGTCTTGGGCTGTCCTTGGGCGTCTTGGGGGCCCCCCCGGAAGCCGGGAGGCGCGGTACCGGCCAGATGTCAGGAGATGTGCGGGATCTCCGATTAGGAGTCCACTTTGAAAAAAAAGAGAATTCTTGGAATTCCCTTTTTTTTCAAAATCCTCGATCTTCGAGGGTTGGAAGCGGGAAAACGTAAGAAGACGGAAGACATTAGAAAAACCATTGGAAATTAACGATTTGACCCTCTTTGGGCTCGCTCGGGACGGCTCTCGCAGCTCTCTTGGGCTGTTCTTGGAGCCTCGTCGAGGTCTTTTTGGGGCCTCTCAGGGAACGGGGGTGTGTTGGATGCCTTTGGGGGGTCCCGGAGGCCTCTCGGAGGCCTCTGGAAGCCTCCTGCTCCCGATCTTGGGCCCATCTTGGGCATGTTCTGGGGTGGTCTGGGGCTATCCTGGGCGCCTCGTCGGCAGTCTTGGAGCCGTCTTGACCCGTCTTGGGGCCGCCCTGAGGGTCTCTTGGATGGTCTTGGGGCGGTCTTGGTCGGCTCTTCGGCGTTCTTGGAGCGCTGGAAGCTCGAAAACGCGAGAAGCCAAAAACATTAAAACAAAAACAATGAACATCTACGATTTGGGCCTCTTCGGGAAGTCCCGGGACGCCTTTCGGACCTTTCTTGGGTTCTTTTGGAGGCCACCTGGGAGCCTCGAGAGCCGTCGGAAGGCTGACTCGGGCTGCTTGGGAGCGTCTTGGGCCATCCTTTCGCATTCTGGGGGCTCCTGGGCGGCGTCTTGGGCCCTCCTGGAGGCTCCCTGGAGAGGCCGGGGGAGCGGTACTGGGAGCGTTCCCGAGATGTCACGGGGAGGTTTTGCACCCGGAGCGGGGGGGCGGCATATATATATATATATATATACATATATATACACACATACACACATATACATACATACATACATACATACATACATACATACATACATACATACATACATACATACATACATACATACATACATACATATACATACATGCATGCATGCATGCATGCATACATACAGACAGACAGACAGACAGACAGACAGACAGACAGACAGACAGACAGACAGACAGACATACATACTTACATACATGCATGCATGCATGCATGCATGCATGCATACATACATACATACATACATATATGCATGCATACATACATAAATGCATACATACATGCATGCATACATACATACATACAGACATGCAGGCATGCACGCATACACACATACATGCATACATACATGCATGCATGCATGCATACATACATACACACATACACATTCATACATACATACATTACATACATACATACATACATAAATCCCTACCTGCCTACCTACATACATACATACATATATGTGTATATAGTATTTGTATATGTAGTTATAATATATCCACACATGTATATGTATATATATGTGTATATATACGAGTGTCCAAGATGACCTCCATACAGCGTAAGGAGACCTGGTGGATCTGGGCGACGGTCTTGGCGGCGGTCTTCTGTTCATTGTTACTTACTGTTGCGCTGTCGCCCCACTGTTTGCTCATCCATCGAGCACTGACGTCCGCAACTTGATCACGCGATCGCGTCCAGCTCGCTAGTGCTAACAGCCCTGCCCACTGCATGCACACTGCCTCTCACTGCTGCTTACTAATGCTCACTAGTGCTCGCTGGTGCTCTTGGCTGCTCATTGGTGCGCACTGTTTGCCCACTACTAGATCGCTGGTTGATCACTGTTTGACCAGCGCTTATTCACTGGGTGCTCGCTGCTGCCCTGCGCTGTTCAGTCCTGATCTCTGGCTATCACTGCTGGTCTCTGCCTTGTCCAGCGCTTGTCACTGCTGCGCGTTGGGTCCTCACTGCTGCCCGCAGCTGATCAGTGTTGCCCACTGCTGTACACCATTTGTCAGTGCATTGTGTGTTCGGTGTTGTTCAGAATTGCTTACGGATGGCCTGTGATGCACGTTGGTGTTCGCTGCCGAACCACTGCTTCTCAGTGCTGCTCGGTACTGGTCCATGTTCTATGTTGCTTGCTGCTGCCCACAGCTGATCAGAGCCTGTCACTGTTGCTCATTGGCGCGCATGGCTTGCCAGCTGCCTGGCCACCGATTGCAAATGGACGCTGTTTGTATGCCATATTCCCGCATCTCAGCGGAAGGGGTATGAGGAACATCCTGAAAGGCCCAGGCAGCCAGTCCCTTGGCCCCACGGCGGCCCAAGAAGGCGTATTGAGGCTTCCGGCAGGCCAAGGAGAGCCCTGCGGACCGCAAGCTGAGGTTTCAATTGGCCTGTTCGACGGAGTTAGGGATCTCCAGCTTTTCGCTTGAAGTTGCTCCACTGCGACCCTGGGAGATGCCCTACGGCGTCCGCAAAGGCCCCGAGATCGCTTATATCAGATCAGGCTCGAGATGGGAACGTGCATATGAGTCGACAAGAGCGCAGCGCGCGTTGAGAGATTATTTGCAAGCATTTGGGCATGAGCCTTTTGAGCCGCCCATGGAAAGACGTCGGGTCTCGCCAAGCATGCAAGCAACTATATGCAGTGGTTGCACGTCCCGCTCCCGCTGTTGACGTGCACGCGCACGCGTCGTGCCCTGGCGGCGGAGGCGAGGGGAGCATGAGAAGGAGCAGCAGGAACAGGAACATCAATGAGGAGGAGGAGGACGAGGAGGAGGAGGAGGAGGAGGAAAACGGCAAGAAGGGAAACGAGAGCTTGAAACGACGGCGTCGCAACATGCAAAGGAAAGAACAGCAAGAAATGAGGTGGGAGAGGAGACAGGAAAGGGAGTAGGCGGAGCTGGTGGAGGAAGGAGAGGGTGAGGAGGGGGAAGAGAGGGATGAGGTTGAAAAGGGGTGGCACTCCCCTCTGGCCCGCTCCTCACGAAGGCCACCACCGTATACGGGGAGAAGCTCCGGGACCAGGTGGAGGAGAGGCTCGCTTTCCTGACGGAGGGCACCAAGCCGAGAAAGAACATCGAGGCGGCCTCAGCGCAGCACGGGGGGGGAATGGGATGGAATGGGGGGAAGTGGTCCTCGTCTCTTCAAAACGAGGACCCAACACCACAGGATGGTTGGGAAAAAAACAGGGCACCCCGGAGGCAAGCAGGGTGTGTCTTGGCATGGGTCTCAGAGATGCTCCGGGGGTGTGGGGGGGGCTGGGCGCCCGCCGCTGCAGAGGACGCATGAATTGTTAATTTCTGACGCGCAGGAAGCCCGCAGACCTCGTGATCGTTCGGCCCTGGAGGCGCCATTCGGCTCATCTCCTCCGGGAGCTCCCATGGGGAGAGGGGCATTCGGGACGGAGGGGGGCAGGTTGGGAACGAGACAACCCCCCCAGATTGCGGCCCAGCGGCGTGCCGAGAGAATGCGGATGGCACGTCGATTCTTCGGCATCTCCCGTCTCGCCCCCGTTCTTCCCCTCCCCCTCTTTCCAAAAGGCTGCGCTGACAAAAGAGAGGAAGCCTCGCAGCCCAGCCTGTCACGAGATGCCCCCAAAGATGGTGGCGGACGCACGAACGCCTGGGTCAGGGGAGCCCTATGCGCCACGGTTGGCGTGGAGGCCCCGCCCTCGGAACTTCCCTCTGCACAGAGAAGAGAGAGAGAGAGAGAGAGAGACAGAGAGAGAGAGAGAAGAGAGAGAGATATATATATATATATATATATATATATATGGGTGGCGGCACCCTATCGGGCGATACCGATAGGAGATCGCCAACCTTTGAACTTCAAACGCCTCCAGATCTCTTAGAACATATGTTGCAGCATCGCAGTTTCGTCAGGCCACCTACTCACAAACCTGTAACTCACGCCATCCTACGAGATCATCTCTGATCGACCGGAGACCGGAGACCGGAGATCCCTCCAGGACTCATCTCCGGTCGACCGGAGACCGGAGATCCCTCCAGGACTCATCTCCGGTCGACCGGAGACCGGAGACCGGAGATTCCTCCAGGACTCATCTCCGGTCGACCGGAGAACGGAGACCGGAGATCGTCTGAGAACTCATCTCCGGTCGACCGGAGACCGGAGACCGGAGATCGTGTGAGGACTGATCTCCGGTCGACCGGAGACCGGAGACCGGAGATCGTCTGAGGACTGATCTCCGGTCGACCGGAGATGAGTCCTGGAGAGATCTCCGTCTCCGGTCGACCGGAGATCGTCTGAGGACTCATCATCTCCGGTCGACCGAGACCGGAGACCGGAGATCGTCTCAGGGCTCATCTCCGGTCGACCGGAGATCAGTCCTGGAGGGATCTCCGGTCTCCGGTCGACCGGTGATGAGTCTTGGAGGGATCTCCGGTCTCCAGTCGACCGGAGATGAGTCCTGGAGGCATCTCCGGTCTTCGGTCTCCGGTCGACCGGAGATGAGTCCTGGAGGAATCTCCGGTCTCCGGTCGACCGGAGATGAGTCCTGGGATCTCCGGTCTCCGGTCGACCGGAGATGAGTCCTGGAGGGATCTTTGGTTTCCGGTCTCCAGTCGACCGGAGATGAGTCCTGGAGGCATCTCCGGTCTCCGGTCGACCGGAGATGAGTCCTGGAGGAATCTCCGGTCTCCGGTCGACCGGAGATGAGTCCTGGAGGGATCTCCGGTCTCTGGTCTCCGGTCGACCGGAGATGAATCACCGAAGGCTCATTGATCGATGGGAGAAATGGTCCGAAAGACGATTCCAATCAACGTCCGTCAGATAGGGGACTGGCATCTTCTTACCATTACTCGGCTCATTTTCGTATCTTCGCCACGCTTGCTCAAACGAACAGCCGATCAGAGTCGAGATCCACGTGGCCACCATGCCATTGTCTGCGGACGAACGCCTTGCTGAGCTGCGCCGTCTGGATGATGGCGAGTCTCGCCTCGTTACCCCGACGGCCGCCCAATGCTTGCGCCTGAGCTGGCAATGTGATCGGATCTTGCCAGATCGCGCAGCTGATCGCCCCTAGAGCTATCGAGTGTGATCCCGGTCATGCTCCGAGTGCTTTTCCTTTCCAGTCTCAGCTATATCTCGAATTCTGCTCGATCGGGTCTTCGATCTTCCGCCATCTCACCATCCGAGATAAGTGACGTCTGCGATCGAAAAATGCTCCCGGCAGTCGGCCAGACAACCAAGGCAAGATGGTGAACCCTGAAGACGTGGCGGTCGCGCTTGAGATGGAGGACTTCCTTTTCCGCCCGGTCGACCAGGTCGCCCACATGCAGAACATGCTCGACGTGGTGATGTCGTGGTCGGGTAGCATCGACGAACAGGAGGTCAAGACTACCATCGAGAGTGGTGGGCCACAGGCAATGGCGGGCTTGCCGGACGTGCTGAAGATTCCTCAGGGAGCGCCTGCGAGTGTGAAGGCGCAGTTCGTCGTCCAGCGAGCCGGTATGGGGCGGTACAACGTGCTGCGCCATTTCATCTTCAAGCACGGTAGCAACCTGAAGCGTGCAGATGCGCACCTGTACACCATGGGCCAGTCGGCGACGTTCCCTGCGGCCGAGGAAAACAACACGTGGGGCCAGCGGAAGAACTTCAACGCGATGCTCGACCGCCTGCCTGGATTCCACGTTCGCCATTTCAGTGTGGCCCGCAAGGAGCATCCGAAAGATCAGCAAGGGAAGGGGTGGGACCCGACGCCAGAAGAGATCCGCGACGGCTTCGCATACATCCGCGAGCACTACCATGAGATTGCCGGCTCGAGTGCGATCGAAGCTCAGGAGTGGGTGCTGCTGCAGACTAAGGTCCGGTCAAGCGCCTGCTATGGGTGGCCGACTAGCCAGGTCGAGAAGGCGTTGGTGAACATGGACAAGGCATTTGCCTCGGCCGATGTAGACACTTTCTTCCCGCTGACGTCGCACGACCTGCACCCTGTCATCCAGGATATGCTGCTGCCATTGATCTATGCCTTCGCCCCGCTCTCTGGCGCCATGGTCCTTGGTGCTCCCGGAGTGGGGAAGACTCCCCTGTGCCAGATCGCAGCCATGGCCTGGGGTCGATACGTGACGCGGAGCAAGGGCATCGACAGAAAGCCTGGCTACCGACGCGGGAAACAGATGGATGTGTTCCGTGACAAAGCGACTCCTGTCTATGAGGGTATACTGCTCGACGATCCGTCTCTGGACCGCATCGATGTGGAGGACCTGAAGGCCTTCGGCACCATCCACACAGCGGGCCATTCTGACGCGAGATGCACCTTTCCAAAATGGGCAAAGGGACAGTTTCACGCGCTTCTCAGCAATAGTTGGACTGAAGATGCCGAGCCGCCGCCCTCGGCTGGATTCTTCGTCGACCCGCAGCTCTTCATGAAGATGCTCGAGAAGCCTTTCGGCTACCTCAGCCAATCGCACAGGCTCGCCCTCACCAAGCGGTACGTTCTGATCGTCGTCGGCCGGCACGGTCTGTATGTGCGGGCGCCCAGCTCCGACGACGCTGCCCAAATCTTTAAGTTCACCCAGGGCGACGTCGCGTCCGACTTCTTGCTGCCTGGCAACAAGGGCGCCCTGGCCGGGTTCTACCAGGGCATGGACCACGAGGACTGCGTGCACCCAGACTATGCGCTGCACGTCGGAAATGAATACAGTCTCGTATGCGAGGTGCAGGAGGCGGTGCGGCAGAAGACCTCAGAGGAAATCGCCTCGTGGTGGGCGAATCGCACGGCCGACCTTCTATCATCAGCCAGCGCCGCGCAAGCCGCACCTTCGACGCACCGCGTTCCCGCAACTGCCGGCGCGCCGGCGTCCGACTCCGGCGGCGTGCGCGCGCGGGCGGATGCTGACGGCCAGTACCGCTTCCGCCTGCCGGCCGCGGGGTCGCTGGCGCCGACAGGTATGTCGCGCCGCGCGTTCCGATACCCTCTCCCCACGAAGCGCGAGCGCGTGGAGGAGTTGGATCCGGCCGACGCACCTGATGGCTCGAGACCGAAGAGGGATCCCGGCAGCGCCGCTGCGGGGCATGCATCGGACAGCGCCAGCGTCGCCAGGTCCGCGTCGGGCGCGGCGGCCGCGAGACCGAAGAGAGAGCCAGGCAGTCCCGCTGCGGCGCCCGCCGCAGCCAGCGCCAGCGGCGCCGTGATCGACGTTCTCTCAAGCGGGGACGAGAGCGAGGCCCAGGGCGAGCCGCCCGCCCGCCTCCCGCGGGGGGCCCGCCTGTACGACAGACCACTCGGCTCCGCCCTGTCGATGCAGGTCCGCCCCGAGAATGTGCTGCAATGCCCAGACTGCTGCCTCCTGGATGCCCTCAACGCCATTGGCGTTCCCGTGCCCTACGATCGCCCGGGCCCCTACACTCTGGGCGAGGCAGAAGCTATCATCAGCATCTTCGGTTTGTCGTTTCTCCGCTCGCGACCGCGGTCGGCCAAGGGCTCCCAGACCGGGCGCTACGTCATCGTTTACGATGCCGCGCCCGAGCACCCAGGGCACGCCGTCGGCTGCATTGTTGAGAAAGGCCGCGCGCATTTCATCGACGGCCTGCGAGAGCAGATCAGCGTGGGCCATTCCGCCTGGCACCTGCTGCCCGACGGCACGCCTTCGGAGAGTTGTGAGTGAAACCAGGTGGTCTGCTTCATCGCGTGACCGCGAGATTTTCTCGCGCTATCGCCTGCCTCGCGGATGCAGCAGTCCTGGCGTCGCGTGCAGGGTTGACGCCGCTGCTCCGCAGATATCAGTTCCCGATGCTGCGCCGGCTCGCGGCGCGCGTGCAGGGCGTCGAGCGAATGCCGGGGGGCAGGAGTGCGTTGGCGCGACCTGCCCGCCTTCTCTGGCGTAGGCTCGGTGGCTCGGTAGAAGGCGTAATTATTTGGCCGTGCATTTTTGCGCGGGGAGAATGCCCGCTGAACGGGGCGCGGAATACTTCATTGAAACACTTCGCTGCGCTCTCCGCTGCGACGACGTGCAATCTGTCATGGGCCCGATTGTTGCGGCAGCGGCGTTGCGTGTACCATAGGTCACTGTCGAGCAGGGGCGGCGCATCCAGGGCCGTTCCAGCGCGGGCGCTTCTTTGTTCAAGCGCTCCGCTCATTTGCAGCGCGCGGTGCGCGCGCCCTGCGCTGGCGGCCCCAGCTGACGTCGACTGCCCGGAAGCGAAGATGCAGGAAAACTTGTTGCAGTCGTCGTCAGACCATTGTCCGCTGGCTTGCTCGGGCATCGCTGCCAGGAGTGGGAAGAGGGGGTTCTCTCGGCGATTCGGCTCAAGAACAGATACCCGCGGCGTGAAGTATTATGGGGAAATTTGCGCCGAAACGCGGCAGAGTTCGCAATGGCCGCAGCGTCATGAAGACTTTGGGGCTTGCCAAAAAGCCAGCGGCGCAAGCCCGCGCGCGGCAGAGTGCCCGCGCGCGCGCCACCTACACGCAGTCCACGGCATCAGAGATCAGAGGAGATCCACGGGATCGCAAAATAAGCAGAACTTTAGTTGACTTGGCGCGCATGACAGAGGCAGAGATCTGGGATTTCATGCTCAAGTTAGGTTTCGCAAAAGACTTGCATGGAGAGCGCTGCCCTGTGTGTAAGGAGGGATTTCTGGGTGCCAAGCAGTCTCGGTCTGACGGGAACAAGCCATTCCACCGTTGCTCGTATTATAAGTGTCAACATCGTGAGTTTCCATGGGGGCAATGTTCACTACTGCATCATGGGCGACGTTCGGCACCTCTCCACCAGCAGCTCATGAACTTACTATGTCTGTCCACGACGAACTCCGTGACGAGCACCATCCATTTGACGGGGCATGCGCGTAGGTCCGTAATCCACTCGCACGGCCTACTACAGAATGCCCGCAAACTTTACGTGCAGCGAAAGGAGAAGGTTATGACATATGGCAGCGAAAAAAAAGTACCGGCGGAGAAGTGGCACGACATCGAAGTTGACGAAGCCTCGTTCGGCAAGGTGCTACTCCGCCCTCCACGCAGCGCGTCTGACACGGCGCTTGCTTGGGAAAACTGGATTGGTATTCTGCGTCGAGGCCACCCAGGAACTCTAATGCTCATTCGCTCCAAGAACTCGCCCACCCTGGCGAGGTCGCCGGGCCCGGGGCCGATAACAAAAGGATCAGTGGAAAGCCATCGCCAAGACACATTTGCAGAACCGTTGCGTTGTTATACATACTGACTCAGCAAGAGCCTACCGCGAAACCAACATCCCAGGAACTGTGCGGGACCAGGTTGTCCACAAGAGAAAAAGAGTGCTCAACAAGAAGACTGGGCGTTACTTTTGGACAAAGCCAAAATACGTAGCTACAGCGCAGCATAGCGTCGATGGTAAGAGATTTTGGCGCAAGTCGGGAACTCAAACAATTGATAGCTGCTGGAGATTCTTGAAGGCCCGCATCCACAAAAATCAATGTATGAAGCCAGGGTCGCGCGCCTTTACGGTGGCAGTCAAGTCAGCACAGTACGAATACTGGACAAGAGGCATGGACCCGTGGCAGGCCATGTCAACACTTCTCAGATGATTACCAGTTGACCGCGTATCTGTTTTTGCTCATCTTCATTCGCGCTGCTGGCTCGTGCAGGAGCCGAGCAGCCAGATTTGTGCACTGCTTGTGCGCGTACAGATGAAGGTCGCTGACCTTCGCGCTTAGACGGGCCTCAGACACCATTCGCGTGATGCACTTCCTGGTTTCATCGCCATCTTTCTCTGCCTCGCTGTTGTTTCAACGCTGTTGTGTATACAGTTGAACGCAGCAGTTCGCGGTCATCGAAGCACTGGCTGTTGCGCGCAAACAAAAGTAACATCATCATCGCCGTGCGTGCACGACGTCTTGCGACGTCACCCCTATCATTATCATTTTCTTTACCATCGGTATGTGCAGTCGACCACAGTGCATTCATATTCTTATCGTAAGTGCGTTGGTGCATACGGCCTTCTGGGGAACGCACGGGGACTTATCGAGACCACGCCATGGAGGCGCAAATGCTGCATTTTAATTGCATCCTTGCCAATGCATGTTTGAATCACAAGAACCGACTTGAACTCATACTAGAACACCATATGTTTGACAAAATGTTGCCCGAGGTATTCGGTCACCCCCAAATGAGAAAAAAAAAAAGAGCCCCGGGAAACCTCCAAGAGGAGTCCCGGGAGGGGGGGGGGTCCAGGGGCGAAAATGACGCCGGGGCCGAGGCGGGAACCACATTTAGGATAACGCTCTAAATGTGGTTCCAGCCCATGCCCGGGCACGGCCCCAGAACGGGCCTACACGGCCCCAGGACGAACTCGGAGACGCCCAGACAGCCGAGAAATTCCAAGAAGACCCGCAGGGCGATCCAAGACGGCCTCCATTGGCTTCCAGACGGCTCCAAGATGGTCCCAAAGCTGCCCACAATAGCCCAGAGCGACCACCGAAGGACTCAAGAGCTGCCTAGGACAGCCGAGAGAGCCCCAAGAAGCGCCTTGGATATTGAAAAAACTTCCGATAATTTCCAAATGGCTTCACAGAGAACTTTAGTGGCTTCAAAACGGCTTCAAAGATAAGGGAGGCATACGAGAGGCGAGAAGCATATCGCATTCCACACGAGCCGTTTGGGGCCTTGGATGCTTTTCATGTGGAGATACCGTCGCAGGATCGACTGCGCACAGTCGAAGGTCAAGGGAATGAAAAACCGAGGTGGAGGAGCAAGAGGAGGAGGAGGAGGAGGAGGAGGAGGAGGAGGAGGAGGATGAGGAACAAGAGGAGCAGGAGGAGGTACAGGAGAAGCAAGAGGAAGAGGAGGAGGAGGAGGAGGAACAACAATGAGAAGGAGAAGCAAAAGGAGGAGGAAGCAGAGGAGGAGGAGGAGGAGGAACAGGAGCAATATGAGGAGGAGTAGGACCCAGCACCACCAATCAGCATGTGCGAGCAGTAACAGCAATACAGCATCAACAACACGCCCTGCTATCATCAGCATGAACCAGCGCCCTGCAACAAACATCATCAACACGTGTGTGTTGTGACCGAAGATACCAGCAATAGCAATGTACCGGGGCGGAAATGCGAGCAGTTATAACGATACGAATTCGTTTGCAAACGTATCGACGCCAAGCGGGAGCAAGAGTAGGAGAGGGGTACGGTTCATTTGGAAAAAGTTATCGTCTGGGAAGGTCGCAACTTCTTAACGCAATGCATACTGTCTCTCACTCAGTGTGGCGCTCAATGCATCCCCGCCTCTTCGTCCAATACGGTTCTGTTTGAGATTAAGGGATAAGAAAGGAAGATGCGATGGACAATGTTTTACCGAGACACCGTGCATTGAATGCATGAAGTTTGCGTTTGTCTGCTTGAAGTAGCAATAATGGTTCAAAAGTGCGAGGCAGTTTTTGGTGCCGCGATTGCGTGGTTTAACTCGATGTTCACACTTTGCGTTGTACTCGCGCGTGCCCAGCATTTGTGTGAATATTTGAAAATTTCCGAATGGTTTACGCCATTCCGCCGAACACTAGAAGAAGTAATAGCTGGCGGCGATCGTGGGAGTTATCTAGTGGCATTCGGTCGTTTCGCTTTTGTACCTGGCTTGCGGGTCATGGAGCCTCTTGGATGCATCAGGGGATCCCTGGAGATGCTTATCAGGAGCTTGTTGGCCGGCTGTTGGAGCCACTCGGGAGCTGTAGACATGTGAAATATTTATATAGGGGAACGAGCTCCGAATGTTATGTTGTATTCGCCTTATTAGGGTCATATTGAAGCGGTCTTGGCGCTTTCTTGGGTCGTCTTGAAGTCTTTAGAACCGTCTTGGAGCTCTCTTGAGGAGCTATCTTGGGGCTCTCTTCAGAATTTCGAAGCCGTCTTAGGACAATCCCGGGGCCCAGAATTCTTACACAGACTTATCAGCATTGCTTTGCCATATTACTCCCCCCCCTCGCTCTAACACCCGAACAGTTTTGGTTCAGGCCGTTCTGTTAGTTTTTGGTGCCGCGATTGCGTGGTTTAACTCGATGTTCACACTTTGCGTTGTATTCGCTTGTGCCCTGCATTTGTGTGAATATTTGAAAATTTCCGAATGGTTTACGCCATTCCGCCGAACACTAGAAGAAGTAATAGCTGGCGGCGATCGTGGGAGCTATCTAGTGGCATTCGGTCGTTTCGCTCTTGTACCTGGCTTGCGGGTCATGGAGCCTCTTGGATGCATCAGGGGATCCCTGGAGACGCTTCTCAGGAACTTGTTAGCCGGCTGTTGGAGCCACTCGGGAGCTGTAGACATGTGAAATATTTATATAGGGGAACGAGCTCCGAATGTTATGTTGTATTCGCCTTATTAGGTTCTATTGAAGCGGTCTTGGCGCTTTCTTGGATCGTCTTGAAGTGTTTAGGGCCGTCTTGGAGCCCTCTTGAGGAGCTATCTTGGGGCTCTCTTTAGAGTTTCGCTGGCCGTCTTAGGACAATCCCGGGGCCCAGAATTCTTACACAGACTTATCAGCACTGCTTTGCCATATTACTCCCCCCCCCTCGCTTTAACACCCGAACAGTTTTGGCTCAGGCCGTTATGTTTTCGATGTGTTGCTTTCTGTGCAGAGCGAATACAATGCCAGAGCACAAGAAAGACTTGCCTCAACTGTTGCGAGATGGATATCCTGGCGAACGAACAGATTCAGTAGGCGTCGCTACGAAGCGGTTGATAAATATGACATTCAATGGAGTTTTGAATGATGCAAACGGAGCGTATATCATATTTCAACTGTTACTTCGCCATCTCAGTTTTGATACATGGTCACCTTTGCGAGTATTCGCCACGCTCATGGCTGCGTATGTGGTGAAAGGGTGCACCGGAGGAAAGGTTATCGATCACTTTGAATACAAGCCCGGGGTCGCAAGATTCTCCTTCACACTACCGCTGTACTTTCAAATCATTTGCAGTACAAGCCCATACAACAATAAAGACCGTAACAGTAGATCCAAAGTGATGGACAGGTTGCGTCTACATCCAGTGTGGAAAGACGGAGATGCCAACGATAAGTTATTAGCGGGCCCATTTTTCCAGAAGTTGCGCGGTTGGTACATTGCACACGCCACGAGGGCCGCGGCAACAGAACCGGGCACACCTTTGATCGATCAAAAGTATGCGCGCGCAGTGCTTCTAACACTCTTATTGGTTTTGTCGGTCAGGGCAGATCGCTTTCTTACGTATTTGCTTGATAATCCAACGTTCCTTTTGTCCGACGAAGAATGCTTACCGCTCCTTTATAGGGGCGCTGTCTTGGGAAAGTCGCTATACCTCGGGCTGAGGGACAATTCAGTTGCCGCGAGGTGTTGCGCCACCACCGAACAGAAGCTCTGGAGAGTCGGAGACCTAGTAGATTCCATTATGGTCCCATGCTGGGAACGCCCTGACAAAACACTCGACCCGATTCTGAAGGCCACTTCGTTGGGGGATCTGGCAAAGTCTCTCTTGGGCATCAACAAGACAAAAGGTAAACTTGTATTCAGTCATACGATGGAGTATTTGTACTTATTGCATGAGCAAGCGTGCAAGGCGAATCTACCATCCATATTCGCATTCGAACTCGACATGGAGGCGCTCGATGACCACATACTCCTGGGTACGAATGGAGAAATATTCGAACATTGGATCAATGCGTGTCCGACAGGCAACCGAGCTTCGACGAGCATTCGGAAAGCTTCCACGGTCCATGATCTAGCGTCTGCGGTGGACGAGATGCTCCCGCAGTCCATCCACTACACCGATGGATCCGTCGCGCACATGCAGCATTTCGGTGCGACGTCGGCCCAGCAGACTTGCTGCAAGATGGTGCAGATGGGACAGACGTATCTGACCGGCAGCGCGGGTGGTAAGGACAGAGACCCGGGCGGCGGCGCGTCGAGCAACAAGCGGAAACGAGGGGAAATTGTATCTCTGGAGCACGACGTACCCGCCAGCAATCTGCGCCGCCTGCGCAGCAAAGCTCCTCGATTGTCAACTGTGCGGACCTGATGTTGGCTTGTTTCATCCATGAGCATGCGTCGACGCATTGTCACGCCGCTGCCGCTTCGCACTCAGAGCTCTCAGTGTGTTCCACAGTAGCTTGCTCGCGCCTTGCGCGGGCGTCCAGAGTCTGAAAACACGCGTGCAAGCGTCATTGCGTTGCACCGCCGCTGCTGTCATCATCGCACATTTGTTGCCTGTGATCGCACCAATTAGATTGCGCCATGTAGATTCGTAGATTCCACCTCGCAGCTCATGCCACATAGCCTGCGCCACATAGGTTCCACCGCGCAGATTGCATCGAATGCCCGAATCGTATCATGTACACCGCATCTTTCGCAACGCATATACTGCGCCACGTCGCTAACGCCGCAATGTCATTGCATCGCATAGATTGCACTGAAGAGACTGCGTCGCATTGCCTGCGCTCAGTAGAATGAACCATGACAAGCAAAGTGAATGATTCGGCTCGCGCGGGTAGTTCTGTTCTCCCAGGTAAAGCCTCAGCGGGGATGACTGCGCAAGACCAGCCAAAAGTATCGCCCGATAGGGTGCCGCCGCGCATATAGAGAGAGAGAGAGAGAGAGATAACAACAACACCAACAACAACCACCACAACAACCACAACAACAACAACCACAACAACCACAACAACAACAACAGTAACAGCAACAGCAACAGCAACACCACCAACAACAACACCATCAACAGCAAAAACGTGATACCGATATAATCGATATACATAGATACGTTTATTTGATTCTCCAAATCGGCTTGCCGTACAGTCAACGCGCCTAGGAAGGACGCGCGCCTTCATCCAGGGTGCCCTTGCGCCCTTGCCTCTGCGGCCCGTCCTATGCCGTTTTCACTGCTCGCCCGCCGCCCAAAAAATCCCAACTTCGGCCTCCAAGGGTCTTGCGTCCTTACCTCGCGTCCTTACTATACGTTTGGACTGTATAGGAGTCTTAGCTCATCATAAATAATTGGTCTTTAGAACCCCCTCCCCTTTTTCCAATGCCCCCCCCCCCCCCTTTATTTCCAATGGCCCCCCCTCCCCCCCTTTTTCCAATGGCATCCCTCCTTATTGCGCGTTTGCGTGCGCACTTGCTTGCGCGCTTGCTTGCGCGCTTGCTTGCGCGTTTGCTTGCGCGCTTGCACGCTCGTACGTTTGTTTGCACGCTTGCTTGCTTGTTTGCTTGCTTGCTGGCGCGCTTGCGCGCTTGCTTGCACGCTTGCTTGCTTGCTGCGTTGCGGATTCCAAGCATGCTCGATTCCTCTGACTCCTTGATTAGAGTCGTCTAATTTATTTGGAGTCAACGCTGGATATAGAGAGAGGGGAAACAGACAACAAACGAAGGGAGGCAACGAGCGAGGTAAGGGGAGGAGCGGGAGACGGGGAGGGAGGGAGACGGAGGGAGGGAGAGGGAGGGAAGGAGGGGGAAGGAGGGAGGGGGAGGGACCTGGACGGAGGGGGCTGGAGGGGGCGCGCAGGGACTTCCGGGGCGGGGTGCCAAGGCTTGCGCTATCATTCTGCGTTCCAGATTAGTGCGCCTACAAGCTCAAACAGCAGCCTCGGGCACTGTCGACCCGTACGTCACGAAATGAAAAAGCACGGCATTTGGGATGCCACGGGGTCTCTACCGCTGGCATTCCTGCGGGACAGAGTTAGACAACCTCGTCGGCAAGATGTCGGACTGCCGGGGCACATCTCGCCGTGGCACAGGCCAGGTGTCCACGACGCGGTGCGCGCTCGATGCTGCGTGCACGGATTCCATATCGAGGTGCTCTGTAGCCACGGGATTGTGCATCCAAGGAGCGCGATGCGATATTCGCAGGTTTGCGAGTGGGGCGGCTGCTTCGAGTTGGCGACTCGACAGCCCCGCTCGCGTGCCAGGTGATGCAGGAAGCCATCAAGGAGGTCAAGAAGAGGAGAAAGAAGAAGTCCAAGAAGAAGGAGGCTGCCGACGCAGCAGCGGGTGAGGGCGAGGAGGTCGCCGAGGGCGTCGTGGAGAAGCCCAAAAAGAAAAAGAAAAAGGCCGAGGAGGAGGTCCCAGAGGACGTCCCTGCCGAGGAGGCCCCCAAGAAGAAGAAGAAAAAGAAGGCGGCCGAGTGAGCGCTGCCCGCGCCGATCTGGTTTCAATTGGGCCCCCGTGGCCTTCTGGGCCTCCGTGCTCCTGGCCCCTGCGCTTTCGACTACCGCAGACTTCGGCTCGCACATCGGGGATGGGGCAGCCGGCCACCCCGCCGATCCGGGAGCCGGGCCGATCCCCGCTGAAGGGTGGAGCTGTTCTTTCCTACCGCTGCTCGCCATGTGTGTACGCTTGTTCCCCATATCCTAAGATGGGGTTCGTGTTATTACTTGGACGCCTCCTACTCCTTCCTCTTATTATCCTCCTCATCCTCCTCATACCTAGACTTACTCACACACAGACTGACTCATACACAGGCTTACTCATACCCAGACCTGGTCAGATTCACTTGCTCAAACTCAGGCCTACTCATACCCAGACCTACTCATATTCAGACTTACTCACGCTGAGACTCACTCATGCCCAGACTTGCTCATACTCAGACCTTGTCATTGTCTGACTTATTCAACACACAACAGATTGCGAGGATGTTTCAGGCCGCTCGCTGGCTTCAGCACCCCTTGGGAGAGCCGCCGAGGGGTATTGCACGGTCCCGTTCGCGGCCGTTTTGTGGGGATGTCTCAAGCGGTTTGGTTGTTTTCTGTCTCAACATCCTTCGCTTTGAGAGCAGATTGCGAGGATGTCTCAGGAGGGCGCTGGTTCCAGCACCCCTAAGGAGAGCCGCCGAGGGGTATTGCACGGTCTCGTTCGCGGCCGTTTTGTAGGGATGTCTCAAGCGGTTTGGTTGTTTTCTGCCTCAACATCTTTCGCTTTGAGAGCAGATTGTGAGGACGTCTCAGGAGGGCGCTGGTTTCAGCACCCCTAAGAGGAGCCGCTGAGGGGTATTGCACGGTCCCGTTCGCGGCCTTTTTGTGGGGATGTCTTCAGCGATTTGGTTGTTTTCTGTCTCAACACCCTTTGCTTGGAGAGCAGATTGTGAGGATGTCTCAGGAGGGCGCTGGTTTCAGCACCCCTAAGGGGAGCCGCCGAGGGTGCTTTCACGGCTCTGTTCGTCGCCTTTTTGTGGGGGTGTCTCGAGCAGTTTGCTTGTTTTCTGTTTTTGCGTTGTGTCCCGAGTGGCTCTCCCCGTTGCGCACGGCGGTCAAAGGAGGAGTGATCAGGTGTTGTTGGCGCAGAGCTTGTGTCACCGTGGGATGTTGCTTTCTCTCTCCGTGTTTGTTGTTCCAATCTTGTCGTCGTCAGCGGGAGAGGGAACTTGAGAAGGTTCATTCTCCCACGTGCGTTTTGGCCTGTGGAGGGAACTTGGAAAGGTTCACTCTCTAGCTGCGGGAGAGGGAACTTGAAAAGGTTCACTTTCCCGCTTGTGGCTCGTATGGCTTATGTGGCTAGACGCTCATTTAAATATCCCAATATACAGTATAACCTTTTTTAAAAACAATGCACATATTGGGAGCTCCACGCAGAGAGTAGTTTACATGTGTGTTTGCGCATATGTATGTTCGTGTGGTGGACAGCCGCTCCGCCGTTAGCTACCACTGGCCGTGGAACGGTTGAAACGACGGCTCGACCTCTCCCTTCAGACGTTCGGGTTGGCCCCTAAGCGCAGCCGTCGTCGTCGACGTCGGTTGGTCGGTCGGTTGGTTGTTTGGGGGGTGGTCGGGCATCAAAGGGTGAGGAGGAGGAGGTCCTCCTCATCGAACTTGTCCACCTGCTCTTCGGTTGGCAGGGCTCACCAGCTCTGGGAAGGGTTGGCTGCATGGTTCGCCAGCTCAGGGTTGGCTATGGTGAGTGATCATGATGGCGGTGGTGATGGTGATTATGGGGGTGAGGTCGGAGCAGTTCGGTGGGAGTGTTTGTTGAGGAATGTGCCCAGGAGGCTTCAGACCCTGGAGGGTTCTTTGCTTTTGCTTGATGGGGACGGCGGTGATGTCCATGACCAAGCCTCCGATGGCGTGACACCAGCTTCCAAACCCTGCAAGATCTATCCAAGAGGCTTACGCCATTCCGCCGAATCCCATAGCAGTGAGTTCATCAAGAGTCATGCCACCGTGCCTGGCCTGTGGCTTAGAGGGCTCTTGGGGGCATTCGCTTCACTTTTGGGGGCCTCTTGTGGGGAAGCCAAAAGGTACCGACACCGCTACTCCCTGGACCTATCCTGGGGTGCGTTCTGACTCAGATTTCGAGGCAAATCCAGCGGTGGTGACGAGGGCCTGGCAGGAGGCCGAAAAAGAGGAAAGCGGGCGGGTGGTAGCAGTACGGGTACCTTTTCCTCCTATGATCTTGGGCTCTTCTTGGAATTGCAATCTCTACCCAGCGGTGCCCGGTCCGTTCGCCCGCGCAGGCGGAGGCCGTGCCTCTGAAGGGCTTCCTGCTGGAGGAGGGACGGCCTCTGGCACGGGTCATTGACTTGGCATCGCTCGGACGTGTGCATTTTTTCTCGGCGAGAACCATCGAGGACCATCCTGGACCATCGAGCAAAAAAAACACGCACGAAAGCGAAAAATGCAGGGGAAATGGACTTCCGAGCGACAGCAAGTTGAGAACAGAAGAACCCCGAACCCGAATAGCACGATGAAGACTTGGCCTCATTTAGGCCCCCGTCTTTGCACCAGGGATACTGAATCTGGACGGCTTGGTTCGAGACATCTGCAGCAGAGGCCCCCCATCCCTGATGTTTTGGGCCCTCCTAGCTGAGGTCGCCTCCCAAGGGGTTAGGGGGCACTTTTATTCCTTATCGACAGGGGCTCTCGCAGAGCAAGGCTTGTTGTTTATGCCGTTTTTCTTCTAGACTCGAGCGCTTGTCTGGCGTGGCCAGCTCCAGCGAGGCAAGGCACCCGACTGAGGCGGCATTTGGGCCGAACTGCTTCAGCGGCCAGGCCCCGAGCTCCCACGCGCCGGCCCTGTCACAACGGTAGACGCCCTCACGCAAGCCAGCTGGAGCACGCGTGATTCAGGCGTTCGCGTCGCTTCGCGTCGCGTCGCGTCGCTTCGCGTCGCTTCGCTTCGCTGGCGTGGCCAGCTTCACGGCCTGAGGGGGCGTTCCCCCCCCACCCCCCGCCATACGAAGGTCGCCTCGCCAGGACAGCTGCACAAGGGTCAGGCAATAGGGGGGGGAGGTCGCCAGCTCCTCCCGAGGATCAATGCTCGAGGATCGAGGGTCGAGGAGCTTTTTGGACAATTCGGAACGTTTTGGACGGCCTGGCGAGTTCCGGGGGGATCCTGAGAGGTCCTCCTCCGCCGCGACCACCGTGGTGGTGACACACCTCGCCATCGCCGGAAGGAGGGGGGGGATATCCGCGGTGTCTGCTGGGATGGCTCGCACGCCTGCGCGGGCCGCTGCGGACATCCTGCGCAGGCCCGCACACCCCTGCCAAGGGACTGCTGCGCCCGCTCCAGGGCCCTCTCCGAGTCAAAGATTGCAGCCAGGGTCCTACAGTGAGCGGCTTGGATAAAGAGCACTTGCTTTTCAAAAGGGGCTTAGGAGCTCCGTTCCTTATCTATCGTTCCTTAGGTCAGGCCGATGACTGTACCCCTGCCTCTCCCGATCGAGCGGCGTCGGCTGAACAAGACGTGCCCAAGGCGCACGGTGCAAAACAATTTCACAATGGCCCCGTGCACGCTGCGAGCGTCTCAACACCTGTCTTACCAAAACTTGTTCCTTGTTCTGTTGTTGTTGATCTTTTTGTTTTTTGTTATATATATATATACAAACAAAACATAACAACAAAAACAATACAAAAAAAACTCCCTCTCCCGATCGATGACGCACCTCACCTCCAGCCCCGGGGGTGACCTCACCGCCGGTCTGGGCCGTGCGGCTCACGCGTCGCGGGCAGGGCGGCGGAGCCCCGGCCCCGGCGTCGGGGCGACCTGGCTCGCGGGCGTGGCAGCAGACCAAGGGCGTGTCGCGCGTCTCGGGCCGGACGAAAGGGGGGGGGATTGAACGAGAGGGGGGGGGTGCCATGCCTGCCAAACTCAAGGGGCCTCCAGTCGGCGGGCAGCCCTGGGGAGCAGTGAGAGGAGGCAGGCCTTGTCAGAAGCCCTCACGCTTTGGAGGGGTCTCCTGCGTCCTCGGGGGAGGCTCAGGGAACTTCCCAGAAGACGGGAGGCCTTCCGAGCCCTCTGAGGATCGGGGGTGGACAGACCTCCTACCCCGACACGTCGATGAAGGAATTGGCCGTTTTCGGTTCGCGAGAGGGCGCCGCGGCCGTCATTTTTGCGGGTCCAGGTCCGTCGGTTTCGGTCCCAGGCCGTTTTCACTAAGGGCAGGTGTGCTAAAGGGAGGTTTGTCCACCGCCGAGTTACGAGATCTGCTGCATGCAGCTGGTTTCGACCCCGCCGCCAGGCCCGCTTCTCGATACATGGCTGCCTCCTGGCGCCGGGAGGCGGCCAGGCGTGGCAGCAGATGAAAGGTGTGGCAGCAGATCAAAGGTGTGTCGCACGTCGACGTGCGGGAGGGAAAAACTTGAGCAGGGACCGACCGTCCCGGCATTCCTATAGTCCTGCCACGAAATGTTCTTAGAACCTAACAGTTTTCTAATCACAAAAGCAATATTCTTAGAACATAAACCCGATGTCAAAGACCATATCAATCAGAAATGTTCTAAGAACATTTCTTGGAAACCACAAAAGGTTCTTAGAATATTGTGTTGTAGGGCTATAGGCGAGCGAGGACGCTTCGCCACTGCTTGAAAAACAGGCACAAGTAACACCGTCGATTCCGGGGAAATTGTGGAAACGATGCGAAGCGGAGGGGAAGACGAACATCCAGGAAGTGTGGCAAAGATTGGGGATCCCAGGGTGTGTGTGTGTGTAGTGTAGATTTGCTTGTGTGCCCCTGGGCCCCTTCAGACGTGATAGGGGGGCATCCGAGGGAGGGGTGCGGGAGAGGAGCGCGCCAGCCTCCGCGAGGGTCCCAGCCCAAGGCTCCCGAAGACAGGAGTCTAAGGACCCGCACTCTTCCACCAGAGCCGCCGCGAGGCGGTGGACGAGGAGGGTACCGATGATGCTGGGAGGAGGAAGAAAAGGGTACCCATACCGCCACGCTTCCCTCGTTTTTACCTTTTGGGGTGCCGTCTCGGAGGCCCTCGTCGCCACCGCTGGATTCGCCTCGAAATGATAGTCAGGACGTGTTCTGGAAGAGGTCCGGGGAGTAGCGGTGTCGGTACCTTCGGGTTCCCCCATGATGGAGATCGATGGTGGTGATGACGGTGATCGATCTCAATGTGGGTTCTCAGTACTCGTAGTCGGCGGTTGCTGTTGATGGGTTACTTCGGTCTACCTGTTGCGTTACGCCCTCTGCGTCATAGGGTGGTCATATCGGATAGTTCGCACGTGTGTCCGTCGCTCGGTTACTATGATCGGCACGCTGTGTTGCCGAAAGCCAGTCGAAAGCTTTCAGGAGGGAAAGGGTATGAGCAGGAACCCGATGACGAATGCCACACGAAGAGTTGGCATGTGCAACTGCGTCGGGAGTTATGCTTTTCGAGCTTAGCCTCCAGAGCTCGTTCAAAGTATGTGGTCTTTTGGCCAAAGTGGAAGAACAGTGACAGGAACGGCGGCGTTTCTGGGTCCACGGCAGGGTCAGAGTACGATGCAGCAGTGGATGAGGGCCAGTCGACGTCGGCCCTGTGAGTTGCGCTTAGAACGTTGCATCTGCACCACAGGGCCCGTTTCGATCCGATCGATTTGAGGTCACATTGATTCTGGAAATCCTCGGACTGATTCCATGTCGACAGACCGACGATCCGATGCGGCCCGATGCTTGCCTGGCGTTGCTGTGCATCCTGGCGCAGCCGGTCTGGTTCGGTTTGGCTTCCGCGCTGATGCTGCCCGATCTGGCGCACATCCCGATTCCATCCGATTCCCCAATTCGTGGACATTGGAACGACAATCACTGCTCAGCCGAAGGAACAAGCAGGGGGCACAGACTGGCATACGCCTGCGAGGGCAGCGCCGCGCGGCCTTTATATTATCGCGTTTTCTCGGCCGGCGGGCGCGCGAGTTCAGTGCTCTCCCGGCCAGCTGGCGCGCTTCGGCAAGGCGTGCCAGTGCAGTTGTTTTATTGGAGGAGTATGCCTAAGCCTCCTCGGTCTTGCTCCCTCCCCCCCAGGTCTGGTGGTGTCGGGCCGAACGAAAGGGGGGGATAGGGAAAGGGGGGGTTACGAAATCTGCTGCATGCAGCTGGTTTCAGCCTCACCGAGGGGCCCATTCCTCGACACATGGCCGCCTCTGGCGCCGGGAGGCGCCGGGAAAATCAGCTACGTGAGCTGTCGACTAGACGTAAGAGTGACCTTTCGCAGGAGTGACCTTTGGTGCGGGCACGGATGGGTCCCCAGATGGCTGAAAGCGAAGCAGTAGCAGCTGGTTGCGCGCCCAGGTTTGGTCCCCCCGCGGCCCCCCAAAAGCCGCGCACCAAAGGTCACTCTTACCCAGGGTCGCTCTTGCGTAGAGCCGAAGCTGATTCTCACCCCCCCCCTCTGCTATCCCCCCCCTTTCGCCCGGCCCGACTTTGGTGCGTAGGACGGACGTCCGGCCTGGCCTTTCGGCCACTTTTCCCATCCTCCGTCCTTCGCCATTATCCTCCTCCTCCTCCTCCCCCTCCTCCTCCTCCTCCTCCTCCTCCTCCTCCTCCTCCTCCTCCTCCTCCTCCTCCTCCTCCTCCTCTCCTCCTCTCCTCCTCCTCCTCCTCCTCCTCCCCCTCTTCCTCCTCCTCCTCCTCCTCCTCCTCCTCCTCCTCCTCCTCCTGCTCCTCCTCCTCCCCCTCCTCCCTCCTCCTCCTCCTGCTCCCCTCCTCCCCCTCTTCCTCTTCCTCCTCCTCCTCCTCCTCCTCCTCTCCTCCTCCTCCTCCTCCTCCTCCTCCTCCTCCTCCTCCTCCTCCTCCCCCTCTTCCTCCTCCTCCCTCCTCGGCCCGGCCCGATAGTGGGCGGTCCGTCCCTCTCACCCACGGCGGCGAGCAGCAGAGGCGGCGGCAGCGGCAGCGCAGGAGCGAGCGCGGGTGGAGTTGCGATCGCGGCTCCCAGGCCCCAGGGGCTCCAAAATTCAGGAGGGGAAAACACACACGGACACAATGAATCGTCGATCCCCAGGAAGATATGGGAAGATATGGGAAGTGGGGGGGGAGACGAAAACCCCGAACATATAGGAGAAGATGGGGAATCCTGTTATTTTTGTGTGTGTGTGTGTTTTTGTGTGTCATGGGGCCCCTTCAACGAGGGTCGGCCGGCATGCAGGAAAGTTTGCGCATCCCTTCTGGCAGCGTGCATTCCATGTGCGAGGTCGTTGGATGATTCGGAACCTCTTGGTCCTCGGTCCTCCTGGCTGGTGTCGCCCAGCGAAACGGAAAAAACATAACAAAACAGTTTAAGTGTACGACGCATTGTGAAGCTGCGCTGGTTCTTCTCAGCGTGGGCCCGATGGACATCACAGGGTGTGGACTCCACATACTATGCGGTGCGATCTGCGTATGTGGTACAATATATGCGGCACGACCTGCGTGATGAATTCTATGCAGTGCATTATGTGTTGTGCGGTCTCTGTAACATACAGCGATGCCAGGCACTTCAAGGCAATGCGAAGCAATGCAAAGCGGGCCGACGGGGCGGCGAGGCGGCGACGGCGGCGACGGCAGCCACATGGCGGCCAGAGCGGCTTGCAGGCCCAGGCGACGGGCGGCGACGAGGCGGCGACGGCGGCCACACAACGGCCAGAGCGGCCCGTAGACCCAGGCGAGGAGCGGCGACAAGGGGCGGCGGTCACATGGAAGCCAGAGCGACCCGCAGTCTCAGATCCTTAGAAGACTAGAGGAGAGGTAATAGCCCCTACGTGCAAGCCCGGTTTGGGGAATAATTATAGGTGCATTCGTACACTGACAAACATGGATGATGTGTGTAGATATATATATATATAAATATGTGTATATATATATATATATGTGTGTGTGTGCGTGTGCGCATATATCGGAGAAGGCCAGGGGAGGGCCTAGAACTGCGACCTCTGGTTCGCATGGGGCCGGTGGGGGCTTGAGGGCTCCAAGAGGGTTAAGAAGGGGCCCCAGACCCGTCAGAGGCTCCCAAGCTGGCCCAAGAGGCGCCCAAAGCGCCCCAGGTTGTCTGGAAGGTGGCTGAAGAGCGCACTGAGATGGCTTCCGGGCGGGCCACGAGCGCTCGAAGACAGCCCAAGATTGCTCTTAGACGGCCACAAGGGCATTCAAGACGGTCGAAGAGGCCGCCGAGAAGGCCTTCCCAGGGCAAAAATCAAACATTTTCGATGGAAGA